GTTCCTCGGTGCCTGCTCTCTCTTTATTTTATAACTTAACCCCCTCTCCTGCAGCCCCGGCTCCTCCCTCCGCTCTCCATTTCCCATTACCTTTTAGTTGAGCCAAAGACGTCTCTCTGCGGCGGAGCCCCCCGTGCTGCCCGGTCCGCCAGGGCTGCTGCCCCTGGGGCTCCGAGCGCATCCCGACGGACTGGACCCACGCGGGGGGGTCGCTGCCCACCCCCCGGCTCCCTCTGGTTGTTGCACTAGTTCAACTGTGCGTCTTTTCCTGTCCATTTTCCTTTCGGGTTGGAAACACCCGTCCTTGGCGGGCGGCGAGGCCGGCTCGCATGTGCCAGGGGCTGCGCCAGCTCCTCGCTGGGCAGCGCCAGGACGCTGAATCATTTATAAATCTTCATCAATGCGCAGCGTTAATTATTTAAAGCGATGTTAACGCAGAGGAGCTGCAGGTTGGGGGCCCAGGGTGCCCACACGCTGGGGCCGTGGCGTTGGGTGCCCTGCAGGGTGCTCAGAGGGTCCCTGTGTCCCCCATGTCCCCAGGGCCCCCCTGTTCCCCAGGGAGCCCCGGAAAGGGCCAGGCCATTTTGCTCCCTTTCCCCCACCCCTTTGAAACAAATGGGCCAAGTTGGGCGCGCGCTGCCATAAAAAGCCGCGCGGCGCTAATGCGCTTTCATTAAGTGGGAGCGATCTAATGATAATAAAATGGCACATTTAACATTAAAACATTTAAGTTGACTCCTAAGTGAGCGTGTTTCTGTGCTGCAGCAGCTCCAGCTCCGCGCGGCTGACAAAGCTCCCACGTTCGTTTTGTGGGAGCGGGGGCTCGGCAGAGCCGGCACCGCGCAGAACAAGGTGTCATAGGATGCGGAGACACGGAGAGGCAGGGATGGAGGCAAGGGGGCTGGGAAGCTGAGGTGCAGTGGGAATGCGGGAATGTCAGGATGCCGTGGTGTGGGGATGTGGAGTGCAGGGTTGCAAGGATTCCAGGATGCAGGATGCCCAGCTCCGGGCGCGCAGCGCGGCGCAGGCCGGCGGCTCCCCTGGAGCTAGAGCGCGGCGCGGAGCGCGCCGGGGAAGCGGCTGATGCGGAAGGGCTCCAGGCTGTAGGACGGCTCCTCGCCCAGGCTCAGCTCGCACAGCAGCTTCCCCACCCCAGCTTGAACCCGTGGCCTGTGGGCAGGAGCGGGACGGGTGCCGGGGGGCACAGTAGCCCCAGTGGCCCCCGAGGTCGGGGTGCCTTGGGGTGCTCCCCACCTACCCGAGAAGCCGGCGCCGATGACGATGTTGCTGTGCTTGGGGTGCCGGTCCAGGATGAAGTCTTCATCCGGGGTGTTCTGGGGGGACCCTGGCGTGAGGGCCTGGGATGGCGGGCAAGGGGTGCAGCCCCCCGCACCCACCCCCGGGACCCCTGGG